TTTAATCAAGGCACCTATCTCACATGTTATGCTCGACAGTCACAGTTTTTGAACACCAACTGTTGTGGAAAATGAGCCAGAGGGTGCTACTGCATTCATGACTTGCTTTGAGATTCTCTTGAGGTATCCAGCTGGCCACTGAACAGAATGCTGGACTAAGCAGGCCTTCATTCTGATCTAGCACAGTTCAATAGTTTTGTAAATCACAGTGGAATCCTATACATTGTATAGGTGTACTGAGTTCAGTAAGACTTATTCCTAGGTAAGTAGAAACAAAGCTGAAGTGCTAAGACCTATTTCGTAAAGGACATCTAAAGATGATACAGTGCCCACCTGGTGATGTTTCAACTCTCAGACAAAGAAACCTACAACTAGAACCTTGGGAACATATCAGACCAAGAAATCACAGTGGAATCCTATACATTGTATAGGTGTACTGAGTTCAGTAAGACTTATTCCTAGGTAAGTAGAAACAAAGCTGAAGTGCTAAGACCTATTTCGTAAAGGACATCTAAAGATGATACAGTGCCCACCTGGTGATGTTTCAACTCTCAGACAAAGAAACCTGCAACTAGAACCTTGGGAACATATCAGATCAAGAAAAAACACAACTCCCCCCCCCCAAAAAAGGCAAAAAATGCCATATCCTTATTGTCACATTCTACTGTAAACTCTGGGGAAAGAAAGTAAACCTAATTATTCTGCTGTTTCACAGATAATACAAGCCACTTTAGCAATGGGAAAGAGTGAGAGTGGCTGATGAACAAGAATAAGGAACATATGTTCAGAGGTTTTAATTAATATATCCTGCACACTCTAAGCAGACAACTAATTGGAAAAGCTCTAGTAAAAGCCACCTAGGGAAAGAGTGTGTGTTGGCAGAGACAATGAGTGCAGAGATTTACTTCTTCCTCACAGGGACGGCCAAAATACGCTGTGCCGTTATTTTAGTTACATGTCTTGTCTTCATTCATCATATCTATCAGAAACTAGGGCCGCCAAGAGTGGATGTTGGACCTGTTTCACAGGTGCAGCCTCACGGGTTTGGGCAAGGTATGCTGATCTTGAAAGCTAGATATGATCCTGTTCTATTAGCTGATTTATGTCTGGAGCTTCTTGCCAGATGAGAAAGAAAGCATCCATGTGAGTATAATTTAGAGACTACTTGCAGGATTACGTAATGCATCTTGGCTACCTTGAGAATGTCCTTCCTAATCCCCCTTTCACTCCCGTAGTCATGTTGCTTAAACAGTGACAAGAGAATTGTGCTTTTCACTTTTCTGAACATTGTCTTCTTGGGTATAGTTAGTGGAAGCTTATTGCCTGCCTTTGATACAGGTGTCCATGTGTGTGTATGTATTTCAACTTTTATATTGAAAATGCACTCATATCTAAAAACTAATGGGTTTTTGGGGGGAAGGGGAGAAGGAATTGAGCACCTACTGCCAAAATACTGGTGAAATGTCATTCCTGGCATTTATATATCCCTTTAAAATACAACACGGTTGGTTTTCCTTTGACACATACAGGATAGCATTCACTTTGGAAATTAGTTTTAAAATAAAATGTGAATATAAAAAACATTCCAACAAACTGAGTAAAAAGCATTACAAATTGAGACTGGAATTGTCTAGTGGTGGTACATGACTTCCCTCTCCAGGAGGACAGAAGTTATATATCACCTGAGTTTGTGGACGGGCTGTGTTAGGAGGTGTGCTTTGTCCACGCTGGAAAGATGCAGAATATAACAAATAGCTTGCCAGGAATTGTCAGCCACACTGACCATTACTTCTGATCTATGTGGGAGGAAATGATATTGTCAGGCACAACTTCAGCATATTTCAGGTAACTATGAGGTTCTCACCACTCCTTTTTTTTTCAAGACTGTTGTCCAGGAAGAGAATAATACAATAAGTGAGCAACTAGCAGCATCAATGGTGCCGTTGATACAGATCTGGCTTTTTGGGCCAGGGCCTGAACATCACTGGCTGCTGGTCCACTTCTGGGCCCACTTGAAAATGCTGGTTATGGCCTATAGACCGCTATGCAACTCAGGCCTAGGCTATCTGAAGGACCATATCTCTTCCATATGAGCTTTCTTGGCTCCTAAGATCCTCAAGGGAAGCCCTTTTCTCAGCTATAGGAAGTTCCCAGTCATGTTCAGAGGGAACATCAGAGAGTGCCTTTTTCTTCTTCTTCAAAGAATGTGTCTACATTTGGGTTTTCAATAATATATTTGGTATGTGTCTTGGAAAGCTTATGTGGAGGCTTTAAACTAAATCCTGCTAGTAAGAGATATGTTGGACTCATTGGTGGAAGAAGGGGAGTTTCATAAACCACAAAACTCATCCTGTCTTCCATAGATAGAAGACAGGTGGAGAAAAAGCAATAGTACTGGTAGTGTACCAGAACCTGGAATGGTAGCACAGGAATCTGCCAACAGAGAAGAAGAGAGAACAAGGAAGCAGCTACAGGGAATAACCTGCAGATTCTAGTGTTTCCATACCAGTGTTCAGAGCATGGGAAACATGATGAGCTTGAATTTTTACACTAGAACACAAATATGATTTAATAGATATTACAGAAACCTGATGGGATGAGACTCATGACTGGAATGTAGTAACTGATGGTTTCAAGTTATTTAAAGGAACAGATTAACAGAAAGAAAGTGCAAGTATTAGTATGTGTAAAAGATGTGCACATCTGTGAAGGGACTCATGACTTGGAGGCTGGTTGAAAACATTTGGTTAAAAAAATCAAAGGAGAAAATACAACAATAATATTCCTATGGGGTTCGTCTGCAGACTTCAAAGTCCCCTTGATCAGATTACCAAATGTTAAAAAAGGGGAAAAATGCATTAAAAGAAGAGACAGATAGCAGCAAGGAAAGACATCAACTACCCTAATAGTTGTTGGCAAACCAGCTTGGGCGACAACATAAGATCCAGAAAACTCTTTACTTGCCTTCCTGTCAACTTCATTTTACAGAAGGTGAAGAAGTGAAAAGGGGATCAGCTGTCTTGGACTTAGTCCTTGCCAAGAAGGAAGAACTAGTTAAGGAAATGGAAGCTGTGGGAATCTTGGTTAGAAGCAACCATGTTCTCTTGGGATCTGCTATACTGAGGAAAGGGACTCTGGACTTTAGGTAAGATTATTTCAATAAGCTTAAGGAAATACTGGGTAAGATCCCATGGTCAGAAATACTCTAATACAAGGTAGTTCACAGCTGAGTTATTTAGATATTGAAGGCACAATCACAGTTTTTTTTAAAAAAAAAGTAAGGAGAGAAAAACATCTAAAGAAACGAGAGTGGCTTATAAGGAACTTTCATGTGAGCTAAGAGATAAGAGAGACATGTATAGTCAACAGACAGAGGGACAAAAAGTACAAATGAGTAGCCAATACTTGTAAGGAGAATATTAGGAGAACTAAAGCTGAGAATGAATGTGCAGGAGAGGGTTAAAGACAACACAAAATAGTTTTTCACTTATTTGTTTATTTATAATATTTTTAATCCACTTTTCCCCTCTAAAAGGATCCTAGGAAGCTTACATCACTAGAATACAATATTGAAAGCTAAAAATTGTAAGTATACTAATATTAGAAAGGTCAAAAACCACACTACAACATAATAAACATGTTAATGCTTAGAGGAAGAGTCAGAACAAGAAAATGATAAGTTTGCTATGTGGAAAGGATGGGAAAAAGATTCAGGTATGACAGAGAAAAAGGTGAAACTGCTTGACACTAGAGATGGGCATCATGAACCAGAACCACGAAGCAGCCCAGATCGGATTGGTTTCTGGTTCATTTCATGAACCAGTTTGGGGATGCCCTTTTGCCAAAGCAAAATGACATGCTGAATTCTCCCTACCCCCAACTTGGTGCTTCCTTTTGTTGGGCAAAAGGGGATGCCCACCTTTCCTGATGATCTCTTTGCCTGGTCCTGCTGCCCACCTCCTCCTCCTCCTCCTCCACTGTCACCACTGCCATCCTCAGAGGCAGCAGGCCTGGCTTCCCTTTTGGGAGCTGGCCTGCGGCCTCTGCTTATGTGCCTGCCTAGCAGCTGATAGGTGGGAACACAGGCAGAGGCAGTGGGAAGGGAGGCCAGTCCTGCTGCCTCTGAGGATGGCAGCAGTGACAGTGGTCATGGAGGAGGAATTGGCAGCAAGACCAAGTAGGGAGGTGACAGGGGCAGTGGGAAGGGGGCAGGTGTATGGCAGAGGGCAGGAGCAGGTAGATTCCCATCCTGAACATGATAATGATCTCAAGCACACCAAGAAATCTGCAACAGACTGGCAGAAAAAGAAAAGAATCAAAGTATTGTAATAGCCCAGTTAAAGTCCACACCTCAGATGCTGAAATGCTGTGGTGGGATCTTAAGTGAGCTGTGCATAAACAAATGCCCACAAACTTAAATAAACTCAAGCAACATTGTAAAGAAAAGTGGGTCGAAATTCCTACACAATGATGTGAGAGACTGATAAAGTCATACAGAAAATGATTGCTTCAAGTTATTGCTGCTAATGGTGGTTCTACAAGCTATTAAATCATACGGTGTACTTAGTTTTTCAGACATTGCTTCTCCATTTTGGCTTTATTTTTGTTAAATAAGTCATGGCACGGTGCATTATGTCATGTGCTGTTGTTCATCTGAAGTTGTATTTACCCAAATACCTGCAAAGAATCAATTTTTTTTATTATTGTCCTGATAACGTAAAACTAAAGAATTCAAAGAGAGTGTACTTTCTTTTTTCACATAACTGTATATAGGAATTGAGTACAGATAAAAAAAATTCCCCTCGTTTGGACGAAGTTGCTCCTTGTGCTTAGAAAATGGTTATTCATTATTATAAGACCAATATACATTAAGAATGGGTTAGGCAACCATTGTTTCAGAAGTGTATAGTTCTGCAGATCAACATAACAAGTAAAATATTCCTAGGGCAATGGGAATGTATCATACAGAAAATCTCATAGAAACTGGCCCCCAAACTCACCCATCTTCTATCCGGACCCAAAGATCATTAAACTGTCTTTGACGATGGTTTTTATACTGTCTCTTGTGCCACTTCTTTTGCCGTCCAAACTCCTCCAGTTGACTGATACTGTCTGGCAGTAGAAGGTGAGGGGGAAGGCTGTCTTCCTCACTGGAAGGAGGAGGCATTGATGATGAAGATGGTTGCACATGTTCAAAAAAATTCATAGCAGGTGTATCTGTTGTGGAAAAGCCTCTTGAAGGCGGATTGATGTTTGTCCTAGAACTGCAAAACAATTCAATCAAACAATTAATGAAAAGTCATATAACCACATGTGGTTATCCAGATGTGAAACACTGTATTCACCTACCAAATTCTGCTTTTAAACATCAGGCAGCAAACAACTATGATTTTTTTCCTATATTTTTCTTTTCTTTTTTTAATGTTGTTTTGTTTTCTATTTCATTTATATATTTATTTAAAATAGTGCTTCCCTCCTTTCTCCTTAGATAAAGACACAAAGTACTTTACATCATTGAAACACAATATTTTTTTAAATATTGGAAGCCGCTCAGAGTGGTCACATAGACCAGATGGGTGGGATATAAATCAAATAAATAAATAAAATATTTAAGAACAAAACAATGGGTATAAAATTGTTCTGATGCAATGTTGCAAGGAAGGGTGAATTTTTACAGGAAAGTACCTTGTACTAAATCAGACCATGGGTTCACCTAGCTCTGATATTTTCAACAATGACTGGCAGAAGCCACCCACTATTTTCATGTAAGAAGATCCCGATCCTTAACTAAAGATGGTGGGAATTGAACCTGCAGATTTTTGCATGCAAAGCAGTCATTCCGTCACTGATTTGTTGTGCCCCTTCTGTGTAGTATTATTCAAGACGTGGAATAAAAGATCAAGAACTACAGAATGCATAGATTCCTCTTTTGTCTGTTGCCCTAGGCAAAGATTCCCTTGGAAGAAACTTAGCACACTCACTGCAAAAGTACATAAAGAATGGAATGGTAAATGGACTTAAATGCTGCTGCTGTTAACAGCAGTTGAATAAGGAATAAAATCAAATTTCAGCAGCACTCAGGAAGAATGGTTCAAACATCTCTTTGAGAAAAACAGTTTAGATTAAATTAATCATCTAGTTCCTTCCAGCTCTATGAACATTTGCTCTGAGAATTTAGAAATTGCAGTCCTGAAAGTTAACTTTTCAAAAGCTCTGCTTTAAGGACAATCATTTCCATTTCACTGAGGCAGACTTTTGGTAACAGTAAAAAAACAGGTGACACAGCACCTTTAGGCCTCATGCCATAATTTGGCCATTGGATCAGAAACAATGCCAACCATGAAATAATAATCCTTTTTAGATACTCGTAAATTCTACTGTGGGAAATTTTCTCAATTTAAGACTTGTGCACGTCTTTACATATATCCTTCATCCACTAACCATAGACCACAGAGCAGGGGTGGCAATTAATTTTTAGGGGAGGGACACATGAAAAATCTGAACTATCTTTGGGGGGCCAAACCAACTTTACTTTAAAATAAAATGAAATGGTGATGCTATGATTGTTTTTATTTTAAACCTGTTAATCTTCACAAATACTAAAGAGTTTTTTTTGCAGTATGTTAAAGATAAGCAAACTTATCAATTTTAGACAAAAAGCTATAAATGGTTTTGATGTTCAAAACTGCCCACAGGCCAGACAGGAGCGGCTTGCGGGCTATATGTGGCCCTCGGGCCACACTTTGCCCAGGTCTGCCACAGAGGCATCTATTTGGTGCACAAACAGCTAAGTATGAAAAACCTGGCTGCATATATTAGTGCTTACCATTTTAGACCCCTTCCAGTTTGGCTACATTTGTTACGGTTTTGGAGCCAAATACAATTGGCAAATGTACAGAATAATATAAAAACAAATCAATATATTTTATATTCAGGGCCCTTTTTGTTTGCCTTCAGCAGGTTAACACACACAGAGACTAGACATTTATTTTTATAACGAAAACTACATTCCGGACATCCCACGATTTACAAACGTCCCTTAAAGTTTGCTTGCATCCTTGATGAGACTCTACTCATAAGAGTGGGTCATTTTGAGAATAGATATCTCAACAGCAAGACCTCTGGCCTGTTGTCATACTAATAGCACCACTGCTAAAAGAAGGGAAAGGTGACAATCGTGAAGGGAAGAGGGATCTGCAGACAGGAATGGCAGGATGTTGAATCTGTTTCATTTTATCACACAACCCAAATGCCTCTCAAATAAAGAATGGAGATAGTTGTCACAAAGCACTGTCAAGTGTAAGAAGATAGTGCTTCAAGCTGTCTGCAGCCAGACCTGTTTCATCCACATGGGTAGATCTCATGCTTGAAACCTGTGACACAAGGATGTCATCCCCATTCCTTATACTCATAGAAAAGTCCTGAAGGTCATAAAATGACAACGGAGGCAGGAGGAATTATGAGCTGTCATAAAACAAGACCACAACATTTCAGTGCAAGCTCACCTTGATCAAGTACCTCTGTTTAAGCCACCTTATTTCTCCATTGCCAGGAAATTTTGCTCGCAAAGAAGGTTCTTGGCTATGCCAATTTCATCTGGAGAATAGTACTTGAACACAGTGCTAACAGTTTCCATTTTATCCTGTTCCAGGCATTCTGGGGGCATCCAAACCCTGACTCTATGGATTATAAAGGTAAAGGTTCCCCTTGACATTTAGTCCAGTCATTTCTGACTCTAGGGGATGATGCTAATCCTGTTTCCAAGCTGTAGAGCCAGTGTTTGTCCATAGACAGTTTCTGTGGTCACGTGGCCAATGCGATTAAACACGGAATGCTGTTACCTTCCCACCATGGTGGTACCTATTTATCCACTCGCATTTGCATGCTTTTGAACTGCTAGATTGGCAGGAGCTGGGACAAGCAACGGGAGCTCACTCCGTCGTGTGGATTCGATCTTACGACTGCTAGTCTTCTGATCTTGCAGCACAGAGGCTTCTGTGGTTTAACCCACAGCGCCACCACGGTAAGGATTGTACAAGAACCCAAATAATTTCTGCACATTCTTCAACTGTCTATTGGCTCCTATGTTTTTTGATTTTCTGCCAGCCCCCCAACTGTCATTTTAATCTGTGGTAGAAATTTATTTATGTTAATTATAAACTTGTGATTCTTCATGGTTCTATACACTTCTCCAGGGCCTGTTGTTGTTATGTGCCATCAAGTCAAAACTGACTTATAGTGACTAAAGACAGACACAACTTAAGTCATGCCTCTTCATTCATGAATCTCTGTGCAGCACTACAGGTGCCACACATTCCCTTTCCTCACTTCCACCTCTCAACTCACAAACCTCTGTGTGCTCCCCAGATTATCCTCTTTTGCCAGATGTCCAGTCCAGGAAGGAGCTTGGGCTTCCCTTCCCTGCCTCCTTCAGCAGCCAGCCACAAAATGGCTGTGCAGGGAGCATCCCCATCCTGCCTCCTCATCTGAGTGGGCAGCTGCTGGAAGAGGCAGGGAAGAGAAGCCCGGGATGGGCAGCCAGCAACAGAGGACAACCTGGGCAGTGCACAGTGGCTTGTGGGGGGGGGCGGCGGGAAGGGGCTGCATGGCACCTGTGGCACCACATGGAGATCTTTGTATGAAGAGGCATGACTTACGTCATGCCCATCTCTAACAGTGTTCTTAATAGGGGGCTTTCAAGGTATATAAGTGAGATATTTAAGGAGTGGCTTCACCATTTCCAAACCCCCAGTGAGTTTCCATGGCTGAGTGCAATTCAAACTCAGGCCTCCTGAGACCATCACTCTATCCATGATACTCCAAGGGGTATTAACTCCAGCCAATTAGTTGTCACTTAGTTTTTCCTGGCCTCCAATGTCCGCAGAATGAAAGTTCTCACACATTAAGGGAAGCTGCTTTTCCCTTTTCCCTTTGGAGAGGAAATATTTCACATCCCCCCATGCTCTTCTCCCAGTTGTGAACATAAAATATATTTACCTCATCATGGTGTTGCTCGTATTAATCTCTTCTTCCATTACAACTAGAAGTTACATAGTCTGTCTGCCCCCCACCATGCCTAGCTAGACCCAGCTCCTCAAAATTCATTGTTCTTCTACGATGACTGAAGATTCCATGTTATTGTTATATACTGCACAGCTGTTTCTGGCTTATGACAGATCTAATAGGGTTTCAAAGGTATGTAAGATATTTGAGGAGATGTTTACCATTGCCAACACCCAATGAGTTTCCATGGCCAAGCTGGATCTCCTAAGTCTTGACTAGCGATGGGGACGAATATAAAAATGGATTGCTTTTTCCAATGAATATAGACAATTCGTTAAATATTCATTGATCCATATTTGGGGGTTCCAGAGACCCCCATGAATATGAAGGGATGAATATTTACCCATTTTAATTCGTTCTTCGTATTAAAAAAACCCCTTAAAATACCACCATTCTGCCTACCGGCCACTGATCAGCTGATCATCAGCAGAAAGGCAGTCACCACCCCACACAGCCACCCAATACCACAGCCTACCTCAGCCCTTCCTTTCCCTACCTTAGGTCCCACTCCACCCCATGCCACCCCCACCGACACCCTCTTACCTTAATCGCTGCTGCCAAAGTCTTCTGGCCTTTGAGACACACATGTAAAAATGGAGACTGGGTGCCCATTGCAAAGATGGCGGCTGCAACTTCATTTAGGATAGGGAAGCTGCAGCTGCCATCTTTGCAAAGAGCAGCCTGGATTCCCTTACCCTGCCTTAATGCAGCTTCCCTACCCTAAATGAAACCACAGCCGCCATCTTTGCAAAGGGCAGCCGGTCTCCTTTTTTACACACCGCGACTGCGAAGGCCTGATGGAGACCTCGGCAGCAGCTATTAAGGGAAGGCGGTGTCGGTGGGGTGGGGGCTAAGGTAGGAAAAGGAAGGGGATGTGGAGGTAGGCTGCTGGAGTGGCTGGCTATGTGTGGGGTGGCTGCCTATCAGCTTCTGATCAGCTGATTGGCGGCTGGTAGGCAGAATGGGCTTCTTTGCCATGTGGTAAACTCTCCTGGGGGCCCCAATTTGTGGGTGAATAACTTGGATGTCTGATATCCAATCTTCACCAAAGTTGGCAGGTGTGTTGTGGAAAGACATAGGAAGCTCTGCTGTGATTTTGGAGTCTCTAAGTACCTGGTGGGGTCCTCTTTGTGACTATACTATAACTCAGGGGTCTGTGATCCAATATTCACCAAACTTTCAGGAGTTGAAGAAATGCATC